ATTAATAGACCTTGATGCAACAGATTGTAGTGCAGGAAAATTATTTAATGCATTTAAATCTGAGATGTATAAATTACAAATTCCGTTTGCAAATATTCTTGCCTTGTCATGTGATAATGCATCTGTCATGATAGGAAAACATGTGTCGTTTAAGAAAAAACTAGAAGAACGATGCAAACATTTAATAACACTTTTAATAACACTTGCATGCCCATGCCATTCTGCCGCATTAGTCGCGCACGCTGCATGCGCTAGAATGCCCGCATTTTGCGAAGACTTTCTTGAAAAAGCTGTTAATTTTATTAACAGCAGTTCAGCTATTTTTAAAGACTTGTGCGAAAGTAGTATGTGGTAAGGTATGGCTCGTCACAACATTCCCCCTCCACTCGACCCGCCGGCGCCACTAAACCACGCCCATCGGCGCCGGCGGGTCGAGTAGAGGGGGAATGTTTTGACGGGCCATCCCCACAGGCAAAAACAAATCGACTTTTGAAATAAGCAAATTATGGCCGACATTATTAGGGAGTTGGCAATTCTGGCTCTTGAGCAGCTACTTAATTTGCATATTGCATTTGCGGGAAAACTGTAGGCCTTGCTGGATTCGAACCTGGGACCTCTGACTCTTGAGTCACGCGTCTTACCACTCACTAACGCTACTACTATACTCTGATGGAAACTAGTTATATAGCCTACATATGGAAAGTATCGATGTCACAAGTTTTGGAAAACCCCTGTAGGCCCTGCTAGATTCGAACCGGGACCTCTGGCTCTCGAGAGTCAAACCTCGTCTTACACCACTGCGCTACCGCTATACCCGGATGGAAACTAGCTATATCGTCTACTGTAACGTGGCAGCCGGGAAGGCGCCTGTCCCAGGGCGAACCCTCGGTCCTTACGTGAGGTTGGCGGGGGGGGGGGGCGGACAGTACATCGCGCGAGAATTGCGGGGGGGGTCGCATTGCACCCCGTATTAATTAGTGTTAGTAATAGGAGCGCGCAGGTGGAACGGTCCCGCGTCCCCGAGCTCTGTGCCGCTGGACCTCCTGTGCCGCCCAACGAGACCAGAGGAACCAGAGGACGACACCCATCGACCGGACCGCCACCTCAGGCCCGCAGGAATATCCAGCGAATCTGTCATCGCTCCTGTTCTCGGAGCGTGATCACCGGCTAGACCAAGCCGGCCTAGGTGAGGAGAGCACGGGAGCAGGAGGGAGCACGCGCCAAAGTGAGACCGAGCACCCGTCCCGCGGATCGAAAACAAAGATCCGCGGAAGGATTCCCGTATTTGGAGATTTAACGAGGAACGGGGAAAGACGGGTAGCACGAGACAACACAAAAGAACAAGAAAACATGTCTGTAGAAGGAGATAAAAAGAGCAGACTACCATTGTCGCTCTCTCTAATATCGCCGGTCTGCTTCCGAGCATTGCGGAGTTATATCGCCTACCGTTACTAAGAAGAGTATCGCTTTGAAGTTAGCGAGTGTAGAAGTTTTGGTGTTCCCCTCGCCCTAGAAGGGACCGTCGGTGCAAGCGTTGCGCCAGAGCGAGCGGAAGAAGGAGGAAAGCGAAGGACCACGTCGCCGGGAGGTTCCCGAATCTGTAAGACCTTCCACCTGCTTTATTGTTTCGGTGTCGCAAACGTACTGAGTCTCGTTAAAGTTATCGGCGTAGAGCAAATCTCGAATTCGCGAGAGCAAAGCGGAGTGTACCGTATCGAGGGGTCGGACCGTTCCGATTCCCGAAATAATAAAAATTGAGATAGTCGAAACGCGCCTAGTTATTCTTGTGTTTTCCCGGTCGCTTCCCGAATTCCCGATCGGACCCTCCCGTCTACCGACTTAAAATACCGAAAAGCTACCGGTCCCGTCGACTTCGCGTATCTCGGCCCTTTAATGGTGTGTCGCTTCGCGTTGGTGAACGGTGCAGCCCGTTGCACCTGGTGCCCAACCACTTTCGTGAGAGTGTGAAACGGCCGAGACGCGCGGACCGACGGCAGTTTGCCGACGGCGAACGAAAATCGCGTTGCACTACATATGGAAAGTATCGACGGCACAAGTTTTGAAAGAACCCTGTAAAGGCCCTCTCTCTCTGTTGGATTTGAACCGGGGGACCTCTGGCTTTCGAGTCAAACCGTCTTACCACCGCGCTACCGCTATACCCTGATGGAAACTAGCTATATCGTCTACATATGGAAAGTATCGACGTCACAAGTTTCGAAAAAACCTTGTAAAAGGCCCTCTGTTGAATTCGAACCGGGGACCTCTGGCTCTCGAATCAAACTGTCTTACCACCGCGCTACCGCTATACCCTGATGAAATCTGGCTATATCGTATACATATGGAAAGTATCGACGTCATAAGTTTTGGAAAAACTCTGTGGTGGTCATACTCGGATTCGAACCGAGGTCCTCTGGCTCTTGAGTTAAACCGTCTTACCACCGTACTACTGCTCTTTGGTAGAAACTGGCTTTACGATGTAGTCGTATAACGGGTGAGGTGAGCGCGTGTGTGCGTGTGTGTGTCTACGTGTGGTCATCACCACATGCATGTTCTTTGGAAAAATCCTGTAGGTACTATTCAGATTCGAACTAGGGTCCGTTGGCTGTCGAGTCAAGCGTCTTATACGCTACGCTATTGCTATACTCTGATGGAAACTAGCTATATTGTATACATACGAAGAGTATTGATGTCACACGTGGAAAATTTCGAAAATTCTAAACCCTACGGACTCGTGGCTCTGAGGCCCCTGCTCTTGAGGCGCGCGAGCGTGTGTGCACATGTTCGAGGATATAAGGATAATTTTGAAGATAAAAACTACTCAGCGATTGTTAGGCGATATCTCCGGTCTATGTCTACCTCAATATTTTTACCTGTGTGTGTCCCCTTGCTTTCGAATTCGAAAAGTTTACAACGGGTCTTGTTACCGCGAACTGAAGATCACAGGGAAGAGAGAAGAGGCCGAAAGAAAGGAATATACAAAATTTTTATAGAATAAATTCACATTTTATTCTTATACATTCTTCTAATACAGGATTGAACCTGGTACATAGGGATATGATGATCTAATGATTTACGCTTACATTGACGAAAGATTTTCTTATACATTCGTACAACTAGCTGATCGTTTCGTTCGCAATCATTGGTAAACAAATTTTTAAAGGCATTGAGGTTATAACCTCTGCACATAAAGTAAAGGCAAACACAACAATAATGGTCACAAATCGTCGATAAGAGACCCTGTAACTGAGAGGTATTCCATCGGTAAGTGGCGGAATTTCTTCTAAGACGCAGGAGAAATCGCAAGCCCCAGGGCGGCATCCCGTAGCTATCAAAGTATGTGGCTGCTCCATTCTGAGCGATGTAGAATGTGACCCAGTGCTGTCTGGATGGTCGTGATTGTCCGTATTAGCGACTACTGTCGTCGACCTCGTCCACACCCTCAGTAGTCTGTCGGCTGGATAGACGCCTGTGTATCTAGCATTGAGATGTTGTAATGCATGTTGAATTTCGAGCGAATTCATTTTATATAATTTCGTTTTACCTCTGGTAACGTGATTGTTATAGTCCTCGACGGTTCGACTGAATGTTCCAATGCAGTATTTGTTTCGTTTTTCTCTTCTTCAGTCGATGGCTCTTCACTCCCCGATTTGTAGGAATAGCTATTTTCACTCTCTTCCTCGTCAATTTTGGAGGACGAGCACTGAGCCACATAGACGTTGTCACATTCCTGATGTTGATTTGACTTTGTTCGATGTACCAGTGTTTCAATTTGTATGCGTTGCGTAATGCACAGTGATAACGACTGTGTTTTCTAAATGCGTGGAATGAGCAAGCTTCTACACGTTCGCTGGATGAAAGATCACTGAACATCGGCGAGATATTCTCCAGATTACACACGTTTCGGGCTAGTAAATTTTGCAAGTAGCTCGTTTTTTCTTTGCCCTTTATCACGAAGTCACGAATATGACTCGTAATTTCACGCAAGCGCGGATAAAAATATTTCGGATTGCTCTCCCCGTCGTACCACTCGATACCATGATAATTCTGCGAAAGCCAGTTATTTACGTCTTGATTTTTCATTCAATTCTGCAAATGAATACTCTGGAGCTAAGATCCAATTACCTACGAAAGACTCATTAATAGCGACAATAGCCACCTCTTTGAACACGTAGACATCGTTGCTATCGCGGAAACATTGTACTTCAATAATGACATCCATGTTCCCTCTGTATACGTAATTCTTTATCTCCCGAAACTATACTTTTCACACCTCGAAATCGACTGGACTCTTTTCTCAAAACTTTTACTCAGGATGGTTATGATGTTGAAAATCTTTACATTCTAAGAGGAATGACGCCGAAAAGAAAAGTGGGGGACTCGTTTTATTCGCTATAATCTATAATAACTTGACGAGAAGAATCTAATTCCAGCACGCTTTCAAATTCAGCGTAAACTAAGCAGTGGATCGTTGTTGTGAGAGCTTTTTCGAATCGTACTTCCATTCACAAACTACCATGTTTCACAAGGCTCCATTGAGCCGCGCAATTAGCCGATAGATCAGGAGTGAGATCGAAGGCGAAAAGAGTATAACCAGCAGGATAACCTTCTCTGGATATAGAATTAGTTTTGTTCAAAAAGTGAATATCCATTCCCGAGAAAAGGGTGTGATACGCCTCGGCGTAGAGCATCCCGTTACCAGAGAATTTTCGCTGTAACGGCCTGCTAGGAATTTGAGTTCTATCGACATATAGTGAAAAGAAATTTATTCCATAATGCTGGAAATTGAACGGATTTAAATGTCGGGCACCGTTAAATGCTTTGTTATCAACAAAACCGATACTTATACGCTTCGGTATTTGTCCAAGAATGACGTTGTCCAGTGTTTCTCCTACGACGTCGTTATGAATCGTGAATGATTTAACTTCGAATCTCGTGAGCGGGTATTTAGCAGTAATCCTGATCAACATTTTCGTATGAACGAGTAATATGCCTGGATTTATCTAGCTCTTCTGATGAGTAGTGTAGCATCTAAAACGCGCATCCGACATAGTATTTCCCTCCATAAGACAGAAGGAATCTTTTGAACGAACAAGCCTCATGCGTACTTCAACACCACTGATCAAAAATTTATCTTGGTTGAAGACGTCGCAGTGAAGATCCTCTACGAGATCCAGAGTTCGCCCTAATTGTACAAAAGCGGCACGCTTGTCGAGTCCATGATTGTATGGTGTCGGTAGAGCGTCCATGTTCCTCGCTGTATCGTTGTACCACGAAGCCAGGTGGGAGGTTTTTACTGGTGAAGCATAATTTAATAACGCCTCTATGTAAGCGCGGTAAGCGTAAGCATTGTTTGGAGGAGACACGAACTTTTGGTTGAAATATACATCGATTTGATTGAACATCGAATGCAGTATATGGTTTACTGGGCCTACTGTTGCGGCGGCGGCTCCTGCTACAGTTTCCGTTTCTACTCGTATGCGTAGCGACAGCATGGTGTAAGCAAGATCTATGTATTCTTCTCCATACCCGGGTACGGCGAATTCGATGAGCGCGTCGTCCGTGGGAGAAGACACGGGTTTGTAGTGAATCCATTGTGAACACTCAATACTGGGTTGTGTAGGTGTTTGTTGTTGTTTAGAAAGAAATTTCTGATACGGTACGCTTCTTGATAACTCCCCGACGTTTAGCAAGTCCTCTCCCACTTTTCTTCACTGAGCGCTTCTTCGCCGGCTTCTTTGCTAGTTTTTTACCCCGTTTTTTCCCTGTACGTCTCTTCGAGTCGCTTTCCTCTTACTTGATTTAGAAGCGTTGACTAGACGTTTGGGTGCAGATGATTTGCCGCTGTATCCGCTTAGCGTTGTAACGGTCGCGCCCCGTGCTCGGTTTTTCGGGTTGATCCGACCCTGTGGGTCGGATCGTTGTTTGCGATCCGATCACAGGAGAGATTTTTGGGTGAAGGTGTGTGTGTGTACGTGTCAATAAAAGAAAGCGAATATGTCTAACACAATAAGTCTTTATTTAGTCGCACGCTACAATCGCGTGTTGTGACGTGACGATCCAATGTTTGGGTGTTTTGGTCGCTGGTGCGAGTTATTCTCGCGGTTGCCGTGGCCTACGCGTGTTTGCCGTCGCGGCGCAGGATGCGCTCGTTGCCGGATTAATAAATGTTACGCCCGTCGCTGATTCATACAAAAGGTGAAATACGGGGTTACCAATTAGCTATCGTGCGGTTCGCACTGAGAAACTCACGACGTGCGGGGTCGGGTGCCTTCGCCGAGCATTAAAGCTCGGGCGATTCGACACGCGACTCGACGACGGGTCGCAAAAACCCGGGCAAAAACGCGTCGCGCTCGTTCTTATCCTTGGCTGCCGTGTCGGCTGTCGTAGGGGCGAGGGGTGCGGGCAGTCTGCGTGGCTAGTGTGCGAAATCCTAGGGGGTCGGCTCTTGCCTTTCTAGGGTCCTATTTTATGAAATAGAGAAATAAAAGAAGTTACGAGATCGCTCCGGAAAAATCACCGGAGGGACGGCAAACTCGCCGTACGATCCCTATATTACAGAAAGATGACACACGCACGTGAGATCGTTCCGGGAAACTCACCGGCTTGACGGCAAACTCGCCGCACGATCTCTTTATCGCAAAGACAGCACATTAACGGGAGATCGTTCCGGAGAACTCACCGGAGTAACGGCAAACTCGCCGCGCGATCTCCCTATCGCAAAGGACGGCACAATAACGTGCGATCGTTCCGGAAAAATCACCGGAGTGACGGCAAACGCGCCGCGCGATCGCACTATCGCGGAAAAGAGATGGCACAATAACGGGAGATCGTTCCGGAGAACTCACCGGAGTGACGGCAAACTCGCCGCGCGTTCGCACTATCGCAAAAGATGTAAGCGTAATCGCCGCCGTGGACGGCCTGGTAAATAACTTACGGATTCTGCTAGAGCTTCTCGGTGAATCCTCTCTCTCTCGGAAAGAACTATCCTCTGAGGCGGAACTCTGGAGACTCTCTCTCCGTCAAAATCTGCCGGGATTATATACCCGAGATTTCGGAGCTTCGGTTTCCTTCGGCCCTGCATCGGTGATAATTCCGATTTTTAATCGGAATTAATCGTGATTATGCGGCGCTTGCCGAAGATGTCTACGGGGCCCGGCTGCGACTTAACATCGACAAATGCCAGTTTTGCTGCGCCCAACTGAAATATCTCGGTCATCTGATCAACCAGGAAGGCATCCGCACCGACCCGGGGAAAACCAGCGTTATTGCCACATGGCCAACACCCACCAACGTAAAGAAAGTACGACAGTTCCTGAGCCTAGCATCGTGGTACCGCCGATTCGTGCCGAATTTCTCCCGGCTCGCAGCACCACTCACACGGCTGACCAAGAAAAAAGAACGATGGAGGTGACACGTCGAGAAGGCCGACGCATTCCAACGGCTGAAAGACGCTCTCGTTACCGCACCAGTGCTGACCTGTCCAGATTTCGAACGACGATTCACTCTCCAAACCGACGCCAGCTAGTCCGGCCTGGGAGCCGTGCTGATCCAGGAGATTACAGAGGGAGAAAAAGTCGTCGCCTACGCCAGTCGAACCCTGAACAATGCCGAAAGGAATTATAGCGCCACCGAACTGGAATGCCTTGCGTGGTCTGGGGCATCCGAAAGATGCGCGAATACCTCGAAGGGTATGCGTTCACCGTTCTCACCGACCATCAGTCGCTGAAATGGCTTCAGAAAATTGAATCACCGACCGGCCGACTCGGACGTTGGAAGTTTGAACTCCAACAGTACGACTTCGAGATCCGCTACCGACGCGGATCTAGTAACCAGGTAGCCGATGCCCTATCCCAAGAACCTGAAGTGGCTATTATCACCGTCCCACCTGCTCCTGGTACGAGAACCTCAAGGCACAGGTAATAGCGCACCCGGACGCACATCCTGACTACGACCTGCGAGACGGCCACGTGTTCCGACATTTTTTACATAATCTAGACTTCCGGGAGGTTCCAACCGCCGCGCAATGGAAGAGATGCCTACCCACGCCCGAAAGAACATTAACACTCAAGCGGATGCACGACGACCCCGCTGCCGGACATCTTTGCATCGCCAAGACCATCATACGCATCGGAGAACATTACTACTGGCCCGGCATGGCTCGCGACATCGCACAGTATGTTCGAAAATGCCCCACCTGTTTAGCACACAAAGCTGGACAACAGAAACCACCCGGCCTGCTCCACGCCACGCCAGTGAAGCACCCCTGGGAACAGGTAGCCATCGACTTGGTAGGACCCTTATCGCGATCTCGTCAAGGACATACGTGGCTACTTACCATACAGGACCGCTTCACCAAATGGCTGGAAGTAAAAGCACTCCGAGTGGCAACGGCCTCAGTGATCATAACACACACATCATCGACACCATTATTTATCGGCACGGATGCCCGGACACCATTATCTCCGACAACGGCTCACAGTTCTGTGCAAAGGAATTCCAGAAGATGTGCAAAAATTTCAGCATCCGCCACCGCACCACGCCTATCTACACGCCTCAGTGCAATCCAGTGGAACGTACAAATCGCACCATAAAAACAATGATCGCCCAATATATCGATAAAAAGCATCGCCGCTGGGACGAATACTTAGGCGCCCTCCGCTTCGCGTTTAATACCGCCCAACATGACGTCACACGATTCAGCCCGGCGATCCTGAATCACGGCCGAGAACTGGCCCGACCACACCAAAGAGACCGAAGGGACAGACTTCCCGTTCCGCCACTCTCCACCGTGGCAAAGGTCTTGGCCGAAACGCACGAGCTTGTAAAAATGTATCTCGCACAAGCATTTCAACGATAGGAACCTCATTACAATTTACGCAGGAGAGCATGGCGACCACAGCTCGGAGAAATTATATGGAAAAGGGAACATCGTCAATCCGACAAGACGAAGGCATTCAACGCCAAACTTGCGCCGAAGTATAGCGGACCGTTCACCGTAAAGAAAATACATTCTCCGGTAATCGTCGATTTGAAAGACGAACGAGGCCGAAAGTATAAAAACGTGCACGTGCACGACTTGCGCGCCGTACCCGATAACAAAGGCAAGGAAGTCAACAATATCACGTTCACAACAACAGGTAACGTAACGTCAACCAACAAGAAAATCGACCTATCTTTCCGAACAAAGCAATAATATCCAGTATAACGACGAGATAAAAGCGGGGAGAAACGAGCCCTCGAGACAGTCAATCTTCAATATGGAGCTCGACAATTACATCGACGAATTGGCCGAACTTCTACTTAAGAACGACGACGACGCCGCAGCAGTCTGGCGACGGGTCACCGAGACCGCGGAAAAGGGAGGCACGCCGGGCCCAGGAGAACCCGCTGCGGAGAAGACCGAACGCCGCACCGAGGTTCCGAGAGGACCGCCGCCGACGCTCCAAGCACCCGAGGCAGCTCCGCCAGCGGTCATACAAGTCTCTGCTACCGAACCGCCACCGCTGGCACCATTAACACCGAAGGCCGGTCCTAGCCGCAGGGGCGAACCCGAGGAACCGACCGCCCGGAGAAAGGGGGACTGGCGGGTACTAACGCCGCCAAAACTAGGACGCCGAATCGGCCGCCCGAGGAAAGGGCCCCAGATTCGCCCTGCGCCACCCGTGCTCGTCAACGTGGCACAGAGGCACGAGATCAGGGCCCAGAGCGGAACACCCACTCCCGTCGCCGCCTCCACCAGGGAGCCCACGGCCGTTGATCGGACCATCACGGTCATCACACTCGATGAGCAGGGAGATGATCCCCCGACGGCCCCAGCGCCACCACCTCGCAACATGTCGCTGCTGACTAAGGACGACCCTGGGACTCCAAACAGCATCCAGCCAGGGCCGGTAATCCGGAGCAACGTGTCGTTCGGGGGCAACATCCGACTCGTCCGAGACACCCCGCCACCGCAAGCTAGGGTACGACCCATCATCCAGCCGCCATCCAGGGCCTCGCACTACCTCCGCCGATGCCCATTCTACTTCCAACCGGAGAATATGGTACGTGCCATATTTCTCCGTAAAAATTTCACGGAAGTCTGCGGACACTAACAGGACGCTGGAGCCTGCGGTTTACACGCAACGAGCAGTTGCGTGCCGCTAACCGCATCCCCGGCTAAGAGGCTACACGCACCGGGGAAAAGCGAGAGAACAAAAAGGGGGCGGTGTGATGTAACGACATAAAAATCTTTACGCCGTTACGCTGACTGCCGCTTAATAGCACGCGGCAGTCAGCTGAGCGCACACCCCCCGACACGCGCTGTCACCGCGCCTACGTCGCGCTCAGTCGAAGTTGCCCGACCACCAGGCGGCGACGCTCGGGAACGGGCGGCCGCCGAGCCGAGCTCGCGGCACCGCCGTAGACATCTTCGGCAAGCGCCGCATAATCACGATTAATTCCGATTAAAAATCGGAATTATCACCGATGCAGGGCCGAAGGAAACCGAAGCTCCGAAATCTCGGGTATATAATCCCGGCAGATTTTGACCGAGAGAGAGTCTCCAGAGTTCCGCCTCAGAGGATAGTTCTTTCCGAGAGAGAGAGGATTCACCGAGAAGCTCTAGCAGAATCCGTAAGTTATTTACCAGGCCGTCCACGGCGGCGATTACGCTTACATCTTTTGCGATAGTGCGAACGCGCGGCGAGTTTGCCGTCACTCCGGTGAGTTCTCCGGAACGATCTCCCGTTATTGTGCCATCTCTTTTCCGCGATAATGCGATCGCGCGGCGCGTTTGCCGTCACTCCGGTGATTTTTCCGGAACGATCGCACGTTATTGTGCCGTCCTTTGCGATAGGGAGATCGCGCGGCGAGTTTGCCGTCACTCCGGTGAGTTCTCCGGAACGATCTCCCGTTAATGTGCTGTCTTTGCGATAAAGAGATCGTGCGGCGAGTTTGCCGTCAAGCCGGTGAGTTTCCCGGAACGATCTCACGTGCGTGTGTCATCTTTCTGTAATATAGGGATCGTACGGCGAGTTTGCCGTCCCTCTGGTGATTTTTCCGGAGCGATCTCGTAACTTCTTTTATTTCTCTATTTCATAAAATAGGACCCTAGAAAGGCAAGAGCCGACCCCCTAGGATTTCGCACACTAGCCACGCAGACTGCCCGCACCCCTCGCCCCTACGACAGCCGACACGGCAGCCAAGGATAAGAACGAGCGCGACGCGTTTTTGCCCGGGTTTTTGCGACCCGTCGTCGAGTCGCGTGTCGAATCGCCCGAGCTTTAATGCTCGGCGAAGGCACCCGACCCCGCACGTCGTGAGTTTCTCAGTGCGAACCGCACGATAGCTAATTGGTAACCCCGTATTTCACCTTTTGTATGAATCAGCGACGGGCGTAACATTTATTAATCCGGCAACGAGCGCATCCTGCGCCGCGACGGCAAACACGCGTAGGCCACGGCAACCGCGAGAATAACTCGCACCAGCGACCAAAACACCCAAACATTGGATCGTCACGTCACAACACGCGATTGTAGCGTGCGACTAAATAAAGACTTATTGTGTTAGACATATTCGCTTTCTTTTATTGACACGTACACACACACACCTTCACCCAAAAATTTCTCCTGTGATCGGATCGCAAACAACGATCCGACCCACAGGGTCGGATCAACCCGAAAAACCGAGCCCGGAGGCGCGACCGTTACAGCGTGACGAAAGGAAACTGAGCTTTCCCGATGTTCACATGAGTTTTATATCCAGACCCCTCCATCAGTTTGTTAATGTGTTCTTCCCCCCTTCTTTTGAGATTTGAGCCTGATTCCTTGAGGCGCGTTTTAATAGCTGCTTTCAACGGCGTGTTATTCTCCACGTCATCGAGTATATTAATCCCTGCGCGTAGAGCTTTTCCAACGACACGCGCACCACTGGTCAGATAAGGTAACGCACGCCTGAACAGACCACCGAGAAAACTGCCGAGACCATAACTACGCTTATACTGCGATCCTACAAGAACTCGCGGAATTCCACCACAGCGACTTCCCCCGGATTGCGCTTCGTAGTACTCTAAATAATATGCTATATCGTGCTAATTACGATGTCTAAATTGTAATGTAACTGTCAACGTCCCAAATTCAAATAGTATTCTTTCGCCAACCTGATCTCTTATTTCGATCGTGCGGAAACATATTAATCGCAATGGAATATAATTCGGCGGCGAAAAATGTTTCACCATGTTACAGCCGTAGGCATATTGACCACCGTTGTATTCGACGGAGACTACACGGAGAAGAGGAGAATACACGTCTCCCGTTATATAGGACTCACAAATGTCGCAATAAACAAAGAGTTTATCGGGTACACCCCGCACCGCACTAGCTGGTTCGTCGGACATAAGTTCACGTTTCGACGTGATGAAAGAGTATAACCTTCCTTCTCCAACTTTCTGGAGACTCACATTACGATCAGTATTGGGATGCTACGCTATACGTCTCTGCATAATTTTTGGCAAGTTGAGATGAATGAATTTCTCGTTCGGTCTATACATATCGAAGCCGAGCATACGAGCCACTTTGTCGGAAAACTTCATGAAATGAAGACTATTACATTTTTTAATATCACATGTGCAGTACACTGTTACTTTACCACCGTGATGAGGATCTTGGCACCAGGCAATGTGTCTTTTGAGTAATGAGCTAGCGTTGTTTAAAACCTGTAACAGTTTGCTCACCGTGGTGTAAACACCGGAGGCTATGCGGGTAACCCCGAATTTGGTAGATCGCCGTCACCTTTTTGATAACAGATTTGATGTTTTTGGTATTAATATTTTCACGCGGCAATGAAATGAATACAAGTTCTGTATCTTCCTCGGGACGCACGTGTAAAAAACTAAAGAGGAATTGAATTTCGGTAAGCGCAACTTCCCATAAGCCAGTCAGCTTCACTTCTTGAGGCAATTCCATAATAAATGAAGTAGTTGTATTTTCGGGAGTGTCGCATGCTACTATTGCTCGGTAGTATTATGAAAAACTGGTATTCCCCCATTATGGTTTGGAAGCAGTTTTATATTCGAAGCAGCTATCCAGGAATTGAATTTAGAAGAGTAACTCCCAACTGACGAAAAATTCTTTATGAGCTCCTCGTCCTCGACATCGTATCACTTTATCCATGATAAATTCTTCTTCTTGTAAGTTTTTGTTTACCCCGGCTAATTCTTGCTCGTACAATATCCCATCGTTCATTTCACCTGACAGATCACTCAATTCGTATACACGGGGATTTCGCCATTTGAGAATACGGTGAATACGAAATATGTCCTCCATCCAGTTCGCCTCATATCCTTTCTTAAAGACTCCTTTCGCTCTACTGACACGCACTAGTGTACCCACTTTGTATTTAGCTCCTCCACTATGACTTCTTCGATCGAGTTTATCGAGATGATGGTATCGCTGTTGCATATGTTCACAAGCGATGCGTGCGTTTTCCAATGTGACGCTTGCCGGTTCCATTTTAATGGTGGAATGTCGAGTGTGATTGTAAGTGTGCACGATGTCTTGCAAAACATCTATGTAGCGATGTGTATTTTTGTGTGTAAAATAGCGCTATAAACGTTCTTTGAGCGTTCTGTTTAAGCGCTCGATCACTGCTGCTTTGACATCAGGATTTCGTACCGTGCGAAAACTTATGTTCTTTTCCTTCAGAAATTTTTGAAATGCTTGACCGATGAATTCTTTACCCTTGTCACTCTGCAACCACACCGGTATTCGCCCTCTGCTTCTTGAGAGCACGCGACGAAAAGCTTCCGTCACGCTGGCCGAAGTCTTACTTCGTATTGGTTCTACCCAGACAAATTTGCTAAACACATCGATGATTGTCAACAAGTAATAATAGCCCTCATTGTAATTTCGAAGATTAGCGAGTTCAACCAAATCAACCTCTCACAGATCGTCGATAGTTGTGACGTTGTAATGCAAACGTGGAAATTTATGCCCTGTCGGTCGATTAAGTGTGTATGCATCCTGCACCTGAGGCCAATGAATAATCTATTTACGCGTTGAGCCAGGTCCTGCTGCTCGCGAAAGATTTTTTATCGTAGAGTATCCCGCATAGTGTGCAGGATCGTAGTAGAATTTTGCGAGGTCGGTCATTCCAGTGTGTTCCAATTGATCAAACATCTCTTACTCGCTGATTTAGAAGCGTTGTCGTTCACTCGCGTTTTACGCCTATATTGATCGGAAGTTATAAATTTCGCGTGTACATGCTCTGCGACGCGTTCTTCCGCGAGAGACGTGTCTCCGATAATACGTTTGCACGTTCGTCCTTTCGTTAATGGAAGTCGATGTGCATAGCTGTTAGCCAGCGAAGAAGCTATACTCAATTCTAACGGGTTCCAATCTATCACGCATCTTTTACTCGTTGGTTTAGAAGTGTCACCGCTCATTCGCGTTTTATTTCTATTCTCATTGATTGTTACAAACAGAGCCCGTCCATCCTCGTGATCTTTTTCCTCAAGCGAAGTCTGGGCAATCTTACGTTTAGACCAAAGCTGCTCGTTAGGCGATGAGAGTGGAGTGCTGCTACCTCTCGGAAGAGTTTCTCTCAATCTCGCGGAAAGATCATTTTCTTCCGTGACTTCTTCCAGTAATTCTCAATTTTCTACAAATTCCGGAGGAGTTTTACCCACTTTACGCAAAAGGCGTGCAAACTGTACTCTCGCTACTGCTTTGCTGGTATTTTGTTCGCGCGTTGCGTCGTTCAAGAAGTCGATGATATTAGGTCCCCTCAGAATTCTATTATCTATTGTCACGACTCCTTGTCTGTCGCAGCTTAATCGTCCGGGTACCGCCGCATCACACAAATGTGCCAGCAACTTGCGCGCTTTACCTCGGTAACTCTTTGGCACTTTATTCAGTATTGTTCCGATACTTTTCTGTTCGTTGGTACGGTGGTGATGACAACGTGTATCTGCTCGTGCGTGCCGAGAAACGTTCAATGTACGCCGGTCTCTATATTGGAAATATCTTCATTTGCATCTATATCTGCGTTTCTTCTACTGTGTTTCCGTCAGCGTATTCGTCATCTTCGCAAGAGGTATTTTCCCCTTCCCCAGCGT